GCGACGCAAAGATCGCACGCCAACACTTATTGGCTTGTTTTGTTAACACTCGAAGGTGATTGGTCTCTCTAGCGAAGATTCCAATTCGTCAGTCACTACTGACGTAACATCTCCGTTCCCTCCTTCAGGGAACGAGGGTTACATACGTAACCGAGACGTTCTATTTAACATCAAGGATTAGGATCATGTGACAATTAAGATGTGAAAACTCAGCTTTGCCATCACAGGAATAATTTACATCTTAAAATATATTAAAACAAAAAGGTTGTTTCAAATTGTAATATTTCACAATATTACTGTTTTTGTTTTTAATCATATAAATGCAACCTTGGTGAGACTTTTTAAAAACAAAAAAAAAAGATGTCTTTTTATATTAATCATATTACATCGAAATATTATTACTATTGCTGTTTTTGACTATATCCTCTTATTATCTATTCATTATATTTAGCATTAAAATGTTTGCCTCTTTTTGATAATTTTGTAAACCAAGTTTGAAATATATTTTAGAATGCATTTTTGATTGACTGAATAAACAATTGAAAATCTGTAAAGATAACCATGCATTCAACCTGTGAAACTTGCCTTTGAAAAAAATGACTAAAACAGAAAAGTATTTTATGCACATGCAAATTTATTCATTTATCATTTATAGATATTAACTGTCAGCAAGTGTAAACATTGTTTTCAGAAGGAAGAAATATTAAAATTAAACAGCATAGAACACCAAAACAACTGAATCTGTGATTATTATTTACTATCACATCAATACTAACAGACATTCACAATTGCGAACTCCCTGAACCCCTTCCTGTTCTCAAATCCCTACCAATCGCATCTGCATCATTTATTTTAAGGTAACCTTCTTGTGTGCTCATCATGCGCTCAACTAGCTAACTACTGGGCCATAAGAACACTCAAAAGTGTTCAAACCAGAGACTTACTTTATAAAACAGCCATGGAGTTTGTAGTAAGAGTTTGCAGCTTACATATTTTGTCATATCCATTGACAATGTGAGGTGAGAAACAGCTGGTTTTCATTTAGACTTTACAAATATCCCTTTCTTCAAGGGTATAGATATCCTGATCACAAGCACCATAGATATGTGAGCATAACACAAACAAGTCATTTAGATAAAGATGCAAAACAGATAACTAAAAATTTTTTTTGCATAAAGCAGAGAGTGGGTGATTGATGCAGAGGAGCTAGTGGATACGAGAGAACAACAATTCATGAAGAAGGGTTTTGGGCGACATCATCTTTATTCTAGTTCATCCTCTGGTGCAATGGTGCTGGTCTGCTCAGAGGTAATGCCTAAAATATCAAACGCAAACAAGTTAGTTTTACAATTATAGAAATAATTTGACATGCTTTAAGAATTTCATACCAAGCAACACTGCAGCTGCCTCGTACTGCAACCACTCATGATGTTATAATAAAAACCAGGAAGTCTCACTTGAAGCATCATCATCATTGGGAGATTTATTCTCTTCGTCAGCGTAACCAAAACTTAAAAGTTTGGACATGTTCACTGGAGCTGTCGCCTTCTTATCATGGGAACTGTAGAGACAATTATCAAATGCTTATATAGACTGAAAACAATTCAAGAGTTTAATAATAGTTTTTCTTGTGAATCTGGAAATAATGTAGAGGCTAAAAATGTAAAAAGAAACATACATCTTTTTGAACTTGCTGGCTTCTGCAATCTCGTTTTGGTTTAAGGAGAGTTTCTGCATCTCTGATGTGGCATGGCTGGCATCCTGTGTAAGGAAATTAGATGTTTATAATTTTAGGAATAAACTAAATTATTCACGGTTTAATATAATGGTATAAAGTGCTACTAATTAAACCTTCTTTACATGTGATTAATTCAAAATTCACAATCAATAATTCCATTCAAAAAAAAAAAAAAAGGAAATTCACAAACGCATAGGGACAAAACATCATTAATAAAAAGAAAGATGAGAAGCATGAAGGCAGAATAATAAATGACTAATAATGCAATAAGATGATTCAGTTTCCTGTTTATAAGATGAACGTGATAGGGCATGAAGTGAAAACCACAGATCTAATGTTACAGTGCACAGAGCCATAGCAACAGTCAATTGAGTCAGCGTTCTAAAAGAACCAGTTCTTTATAGTTAAAATATGTCAAACTGGTTTTTACATTTGAAAGTCTTTGTTCAGTAACCTTAGTACATTAAGGTACTATGCTTTCATAGTATGCAACCCTAACTTGACTACAGCAAATGTTTTTAAATCGTAATTTTAGAGTATTTTGTCTTTACAACTAAATTGTCAAACTAAGCTGTGCGTACACGCACGAAGACGAAGATGATCAATAAACAATCTTTAATAATCCAAACAGGGTAATTCCAACAGAGGTAAAGGCAATCCAGTAACAGCTATAGAGAGACGAGACCTGACAATTAAACACAAAAAGAACTGAACTTAAGTAGGGGAGATAATGACAAACAAACCTGAACATAAAGATGAAATCAAATCAGTAACTATGACAACTAATAAGGAGTGGGAAACAGTGCAAAACACAGAGTCCATGCGGTGTGACATAAATAGCCACATAGCAAACAATTTTATCAAATGTGTACACCTAAAAAGTCACCATGAAAACACAGAACATATCTTGCCAAAGTCCTATATATTGTCCTATGAGAGAACGTGGTCTGACCATATCTTTATCCAAAGTCTTCATGTCAACCAGTCAAGAAAATAAAAAGCAGAATCGCAACAATGGAAAACAAAAACGACAGCATGCAGCTCAATGCATGTTTTTCTTAAATGATTCAAGTGAAGAAGATTTCTTCACTAATATGGTTTTGCAGGTGCATGGCAAAAAAAGAAAGATGGCAACTAAAAGATTGTTTGTAATATGGCGGCAGGAGGAAGTATGGGAGGTTTAAGGACGTGATAACTGTCCCGGTCTGTGCTAATCCATTCACCTTTTTACCAGAATCCCAGGCTGAACAGTTATCAGTTCCAAATGGGGGCTCCAGGTGTTGTAAGACCCCTTTAGACTGGCTGATTCCATCAGGGGTAGTTGCATTACTTCCGCTGTAAGCATAAGATCACATGATTGAACCCCAGTTTCACACCACCCCACTGGATGGATGGGGGTGGACCCTTTTGTCTCAACACAACCCTAATATTTTTCTGAGAGAATAATGTAGGTCCTCCATGTCACTCTATATGGACCAGATTAATGTTGAACTGCTTGAATATGCCATGCTACATTTAGAAAGCCTTAAAGTAATATGAAAAAAAAACTACTATCCTTTACCATCCAATGAAAAGGATGTAGATGAGTTTGTTTCTTCAGAGATTTGGAGAAATTTAGCATTACATCACTTGCTCACCAATGGATCCTTGAAGTGAATGGGTGCCTTCAGAATGAGAGTTCAAACAGCTGATCAAAACACAATAATCCCCAAGACTACAGTTCATCAATTAAAGGATTAGTTCACTTCCAGAATAAAAATTTCCTGATAATATAAGGTCTTATTTAGTGAAACGATCTGTCATTTTCTAATAAAAAAAATATATATATACTTTTTAACCACAAATGCTTGTCTTGCACTAGCTCCGCAATGCGCGTCCGCAAATTCACGCATTACATAATCACGTTGGAAAGGTCACGCAAGGTTAGCTCTTCGTCTGTGTACTCTGGTTCAAAAAGGTAGGGTTGGGTGAAAAACTCCATCTCATTTTCTCCTCCAACTTCAAAATCGTCCGACATCGTTGTTTTACCTTTTTTTGTAAAGGGCGTTTGACTTTCTTTGCACGTTCGCTTTGTAAACACTGGGTCGGTACTGCCACCTACGTCACGTGTGACCTTTCCAACGTGATTATGTAATGCGTGAAGTCGAGCTAGTGCAACATGAGCATTTCTGGTTAAAAAGTATATAAATGTTTTATCTTTTTTAAGAAAATGACAGATCGTTTCACTATATAAGACCCTTATTCCTTGGCTACATTGAAACTGCAATTTGGACCTTCAGCCCGTTGGCCACCATTGAAGTCCACTATATGGAGAAAAATCCTGGAATGTTTTCCTCAAAAACCTTAATTTCTTTGTGGCTGAAGAAAGAAAGACATGAACATCTTAGATGACATGGGGGTGAGTAAAATATCAGGAAATGTTTATTCTGGAAGTGAACTAATCCTTTAATGTCTTGTTAAGAGAAAAGCTGTGTGTTTGTAATACGTTACAAATCCATCATTAGGAAGTTTTAACTTCACACCACTGCTTCTAGCCCCCCCCCCCCTCACAAAAAAACAGTCTATAATCCTTAATAACGCTTTCTCTAAGGAAAAATTCCATACCCTGTTGTCCTCTCACATCAAAATCTGTTTTGGACTGTTTTTGCTTGTAAATAGAGCATGATCTGTTCATATTTCTCTCCTAATTTAGACGAGACAACTTTTTTAATGGATAAAACAATAATAATCGACAGAGGACTGTTTGAAATTTAAAACATCTGAATGATTAATTTTATTTATTACAAACACGCAGCTTTTTGCTTCACAAGATGTTAATTGATGGACTGGTGTTGTGTGGATTACTGTGATGTTTTTATCAGCTGTTTGAACTCTCATTCTGACGGCACCCATTCACTGCAGAGGATCCATTGCTGAACAAGTGATGTAATTCTAAATTTCTGCAAATCTGTTCTGATGAAGAAACAAACTCATCTACAACTTGGATGGCCTGAGGGTGAGTACATTTTCATTTTTGGGAGAACAGTTCCTTTAAATACCAGAACTAATTGACACATTCATAGTGCCTTATTGCCAAACAATTTGTAATTAATCGAGATCTCTTCTAATCTATCTAGGATCATTTTTTTTATTAAAATGTTGTATTTTCAAGGCCTTTGGCTTCATTTATTATTTCTGTACAAAACAACACCGTATGGGCTGACAAATTCTCACCTCTCTTGATCATCAGGTGTGTCAGCGAACCAACTAGCGGGTTTGTAGGAACTGTTAGGTTTTGTTTCCATAGGGTCTCCATCATGCCTCAGCAAACCTATGGCAGAATTGAAAGATAAGCAGGATATAATTATGGGTGTGTTTTAAAAGTAGAAACTATTTCTTTAAGGATTTTTCTTGTTTTCTTGTTTATCAGTTAGCTTGCGAGTAAACTTGGTCACTTAGTAACAAAAACAGCATCAGGATCCCAAGCATCATCTATAAGCTGATTGCACTTTTTGTAATCCAGTTGTGTGTAAAAATGTCCTAACTATTGGCCATTTTATCAAACAATAAGTCACAAAATACTGTGCACAGATTAGATGAGTTTTTAAGATCATTTGTCACAATCATTTTCTTTTCTATCCTGAACATTTTTGCAATAGCAGTTGGTCATTCTGTAAATATATACTTCACTTATAACAAATTGTAAATCTCGGCAAAGTTGAAGATAAATATGAAAATAACACATTCTATACAAGTGTGACACAATTACCCTTCTGTCCTCCTTGTTTTGCAAGTTTAACATAATCCGAGTCAGAGGCCTGAATTCCTACACGTCTTCCTTTAGATTTTTCTTCAGGAGTGATGTCGGCGGCAGATGCAGATAATCCCGGAATCTGTGATGAGGGCCCAACTCCATTTGAACTAGCAAGGTTAGCTGTCCTAACACCTACAAAGAAATTATAATATTTGTACTATTACTTGCCTTAATCAGAAATGTTTTGGGAAAACACCATTCATGTATTATGTGACAGCAATGTAGGCATAAAGTGATGTGTAAAAAAGATAACAGTATAATGCTTTTTCTCAGAAGGGCCGTTACCCGGTTTTGTCCGGCGATAATTAGGTTCGGCAGCCATGACTGGGTGTCTTAGTGGTCAGTAGTGGTTTGATAGCTCTGAAATTGCAGAAAGAGAAAGTTAAGTGCTTAGCATTTACACCAAATAGAAGGTCAGCCGAACTATTACCCTTTAATGCGTGCTTAAATTATCCAGTTAAACCGCGAATCAGCTCGACAGCCGTGGATACAGCTAACTTAGCTAAGCGAATACATGCGGCTATTACTGATTATGTTTTAAAACACTGGGGTTATTTTAGCTATTTCTCTCAAGATATTTCTTGTTTATCATTTAGCTCGCGAGCCAACCCGGTCGCCTAGAAACAAAAGCAGCATCAGGACCACAAGCATCATCTGTACAAGACACGACAATTATCAGCGCAGATTTTAAAAAACACAAATCACAGACATTGCAGATCAAAACAAAATTGGGAGCAGAATTAACATAATAAATTACGTCGTTATTGATATACCTGAGGCTACAAAAGGATGTAGAAAAGACAAAGCTTACGTCGTGTTAATCAACGCACAGAAGGGGGGACGCCTAGATTCTTCTTCTTCATCAGAGTGAACTGCGCACTGAACCGGGAGACGCCTTTCCTGCCACCTACTGGATAGGAAATAAAATTCAAGAAGCGGGGATACACACCTCCTCCACACAGGGGCGAGGCCACAAATGTTTCAGGGGGTTGGCCTACATAAAACAGGGTGGGCTAAAGTGTAGCATATGAAACCTACATGTCGCCAACAGAAGATAGGCCTACAGCACGATCGATTCAATAACAATACTTCTAAAAAGCATTTATTAACCTTATTGTTAATTTTTTTAAATTGACTAATAAATTATTCAAATTAAAAGTTGTGTCTGTTAACATTTAAAGTACCCGAGCTAACACAAAAAACAATGAACAGTTGTATTTTTATTAACTAACCTTAACAAAGATGAATAAATACTGAAACAAATGTACTGCTCATTGTTAATGTTAGTGAATGCATTAACTAACGTTAGGTAAGTTTATTGTAAAGCATCACCTCAGTCTCAACAACGGGGCTTCGCAGATAATCCCATTATCTGTCTCTGTCATATCGCGTTCAAAGGCGAGTAAAGATCGAGGAGCGTAGAAATGAGCGCAGCTGCAAATGCAGTTTGTTGTGGAGAACTGTGTTTAGCACAACGTCTAAATTATGTGTTTATTTCCACAAAGGACGCATCTATTGATCAGATCAAACACTATGCTGATGCGTCTCCACAGTCTAAGCTACATCACAGTCTTTGCTCAAGTCTGATAAACACAAGAATTTGCATGACATGCATCATATTGAGAACCAGAGATTACGCTAAAATAACCCCTCCCCCCAACTTTATTATACACAAATAAATCCTTTTATAAGTCTTTTTATTTATTTATTTATTTTTGTTGTTGTTGATTTATTTATTTATTTTGAATGAAGTTTTAAGCTGTGGTCTTGAATAAGCCTAATTAATAAAGTTGAATTAAGCGAAATTAAGTTATTTTTTGTTTAAATCTATAAATACATAAATTCTTTATTAGGCTACTATTTTACTGTATGGAAGGCGCATTTTCTGAAGACGTTTAGGCCTATTTATTTATTTATTTATTTATTTAGCCTATGTTTAAACCAAGCGGCAACCTCCCGCTTTCTCTCGTGAAGCCAACAAGGAAGTGACTTAAACTGTAATTCATCAACTGGCCGATAGAGGCTGCTGCAAAAGGGAGTCAATCCCATGTTAAAATGCCCAACTTTACAGCAGAAAAAAACATGTTTACAGCCTATATGGTCTTATATGCTTACGGTCTATATAGCTAATTTTGCCCTTCATGACAACTGTGAGGGGGGGTGAATTTTTTTATAGCTCATCCGTTTAAATTATATTAAGCCTTAAAGTTCTGCATAATTAAGGGCGTGGCCACTTGAGTGACAGGTGGATTGCCGCTGCTGTCACCACCGTCGAGCTAGGTGGGCGTGGCTTCAGCAACCTGCTCCCGCCTCTTTGCCCATTTTCTATTATCCGGGAGTGACGCGCGGTGACCCGCTGCCAAGATGGCGACGGCCGGCTCCACCTACTTTAGG